CTTTATATACATAATGGGACTGTTATGTATACATGTGTGTGTTATATAGCCTATATTGGTGCGTATACATACAAGCTGGATGTGATTGGAACACTAAGGTGCTTGCGTCAGTGCGACACTTCAGACATGCCCTGTGTCAAGCATTAATTTTGATGCAGTGTAAATGCATAATAGGCTAGAAATATATGTAAAGATACAGTGAATTGCTTTAAAATGCTATTTAGCATTTTTGTTCATGCAGACATTTAAAATAAAATTGGCTTGTTTAGGATTGTCAGATTTTACAAAAGGTTCAGGTTAGTCACACCAGTTTGCAGTGTTGACAAACTGAAAACTATAGTTTGAGAGATTTGTACTTTTATTCAAATGTGTGTGCTTTTGTTTGTTTGCAAATGTTTGCTTACCTTCATGCACCTTGATGGTTGCCACTTTGGTTTCTATTTCCAGCCTTAGCTCTTAGCTTGACAAATTAGCTTAATTTGAAAATGTGAAAATCTTTATACAGCTATCTAGAGCAGAATAATTAATTGTTAAAAGACATAACAAAGTTGCTTCTATCTATTACACAAGTACAATCTTAGTGACCATCAAAGGGATAGTATGTACTCGCCCTCAAAGGATTCCAAACCCTTGAGAATTTTTTTATTTTTTTTTTCTCTTTGGATACTTTAGTCATCAAATCATTCAACCCCATTAAAAATCCAAAGTAATTAGATATTTTTAGATTAGTTATCGCTTTTCCCCGGAAACTACAGTACAGTATGTGTTAATTTGTTAGCTTTCTCAGTATGGGAAGAGAAAAAAGGTGATTCTAAAGATACTTACTCCTCTTGCTTAATCCGACTTTCTGTTCAGATTACAGTTAGGTTCTGATCAAATTCAAAGACATTTAAAGGGAGCTGTACCACCCTCTTAAGTACTGAGCCCGAAAAGCACAAAAAACACGTCTAGCATGTTCAACTGGATATTTGCATAAAGTATATTACTGGTTTAATCCTTTTGCACATAAGTAATCAGCAACAGACAACAGCAATTTACTAGAGCAAACACAAAGTATTTTCCCATTCTGATTTTGGCATGTATCCAGTTGACATTTTTGTGGCGGAATATGGCAAAATACATTATCCAAACCAAGGTCCAAGCATACGGTGATATGGGAGATAAGAGTTTAAATCCAGTCTGTTTGCCCTGTTATTCTTAATCTCCAAGCAATATAGTGACGATAAACAACGTGTGTATGTTCAAGTTCTAGTAAATGTCAAATAATATTTTTAAAAATCCTCTAAAATTGTTTATTTTACTGCTGTGACTGTTTGTGACGACCTAAACCCTCAGCAGTGCACTTCTGCTTATTTAAGCAATCAAGAACGTTTTACCTCATTGTTATTCTGCACACAACCCATTAGTAATAATTAATCAAAACAAACAAATGGCAGAAAACAATAAAGTCCATTGTTGTTTTTCATAATCAGACAACTAATTAATTTGTATCAAGCCAACTTTGCGGCTTTCTCTGCAGTAGGGAGAAAGACATGGAGGAACACGGAAATTTCCACTTCTCACTACGCTCACTCCAATTAATACAGAAATCCATGTGGAACGGAATATTGTTTGTTGCCATTTTGCGTGATGAATTATTCATGTTTTTGTTGTGGGAGTGTTTTGTTAGTAGATACATTTCTTTGCATCGTCTTCTTTCTTGTTGCATCCCCCCCTGCTTGTATTAACAAGACCCAGCAGAATTGGCCATTACTTCTGCACTTAAACTGAAACTTTATTTTATTTGCTTGTTCATTAGCACGGTTTTAATTGTATTGGCTGTGTAAGAGCGTGTTCAGTAAAGTGTTGCAGAGGATCTTTGGAGACCTCGCGGCTCTGTCACATCGCTGCGAAAGCCGAGTGGAGAGATGTAAAGCAGAACTTGTGTTGTTCACGGTTCACAGGAAACATTCACAATGGCTTTAGTTCAAGCATTTTGTGCTGCACACAGGCAGTGACCGAAAACACTGTCGGACAAGAAACGGAGTAATTTATATTTTCCGAGAGAGAAATAAATTGCGATGACCTTTCCATTTCAAAGATGTATGAGAGATCGCACATATAGTCATCCAGCAAGAGTGATTTAAAACGCACAACAGGAGAGCGTGACTTGGGGGAGCTGAGAGTGTATAGACGGCAAAGGCTGAGCGAGTCCTTGGAATCCTGCAAATGTTTTCGACAATTATTTTCTTCAGGCAGATGCTGCTTAATTGAACCTAAACGCGTGTCTGCATCTCCAATGAATCATCAGCCGAGAAGAGCTTCTTAGTTCATTATTCAAATGAAGGAGGTATTTATTTTTAAGATTTCTTTCGGGGTAAAAGCAAGTTCCTTGATGTTTTACAGTTGGCTAAGTCTGCCCCGTACGTGCTGGGAGTCTGAAATCGTAACAGTGATTGTTAGTCATCTCCTGGTGAGCGCTACAAGGTTTAGGCATGGGCGAGAGTTCAGACACAGCGTTAGAGTCTGCATCCATGCCAAAATGCCCAGATTGTGTGCCAATGAGTCTGCGTGAAGCCTTGGGGAGGAGAGAGGAACTGCCTGAATTCGCAGCAGTGGGGGATGAGATGCTGAATAAATGAGAAATTGTTATTCATGTAGAATAAAGGAACATTGTTTGGAAGACCTACAGCGCTCTGGAATTTTATTTTGTGGGTGTGTAGTTTTCGGCATGCAGAAGTTTTGAAATATGCATACATTGTGTACCTTAAGGTGAAGCAATACATAAACTTTCCCCACAAAACTGTATTTCGGCTAAGGCCCTGTTTCCACCTGGTATTTGTGTTTTCATTGAGCTGATCATATTTGTTCAAGATTCCTTACCTTTTCCACATGTCAGCTATTTAAATAGATGAAAAGAGTTTGCACCAGTATGTATCTTAAATAAAATATGATAATAATAATAAGATAATAATGATAACAACAGGGGGTGTCACGGTGGCGCAGTGGCTAGCATGATCACCTCACAGCAAGAAGGTCGCTGGTTCGAGCCCCGGCTGGGTCAGTTGTCATTTCTTTGTGGAATTTGCATGTGCTCCCCGTGTTTGCTTGGGTTTCCTCCGTGTGCTCCGGTTTCCCTCCGGTTTACAAGTGGAAAGACATGCATTATTGGATAAAAGCTAAATTGTCTCTAATGTATGCATGTGAATGAGAGTGTATGGGTGTTTCCCAGTGATGGGCTAGGGCTCGAATAGCATCCACTGTGTAAAACATATGTTCGTTAAGTTGGCGGTTTATTCCACTGGCGTAAATCCAAATTAATAAAGGGACTAAGCCGAAAAGAAAAAGATCGAAAAGATAACAGATGATATAAATATACATCATCTTACCACCCCTATAATGGCTCATACCAGTGTGAGTGCATGATCAGCAAATTATATGAGAAAATATTCAGTCGGCGGTCTGAACATTGCCAGACCTAGCCCACTAATTCTGATTTAAAGTTACAGTGCTCAGCATATATGAGTACACCCTCCACCCCCCACAAATCATTAACTTAAATTAATATTTTCTCTAGTATGCATTACAATAATATATTTGTGTATATACATTAGATTAGTCAGTACTGAAGCCAAACCTGGAGCTTATCTAGCAAAATAACTTATATCAATGATTCAAAAATTAGTAGCCCAAAGTTACGCTAGAGAAACATATTAAATAAAATAATTTTAAAAAAGCAAAAATCAAGAAAAACAAAAAAATATATAGAGAATTTTGTTGAAATGTTGTAGTTTGTATTTTTTTTTTTGCAATATTTTGCATGAATTTAATTGGATTAACTTTCCATTTCTAAATATCTTCTGTGACTAAAATATTATTTTATTAAATAAATCTGTTTAATAAATCTGTTTTGTTCAAATGCACCAAAATATTACCCATATTAACTGAGAAAGGGATAAAAATATTAATTTTCAAAATGAGGTGCTGACAAATATTTAATTACTTTTCTTTAACCAAAAGTGACACAGGCTTCTCCCAAAAGATAATAAGACGATGTAGAAGAGGCATCATTGTGTAAAAAATATTTGTATTATATGTATATATATATATATATATATATATATATATATATATATATATATATATATATATATATATATATATATAATAACTATATAAGTATATACGTAGAGGTGGGCCGTTATCTCTTCTTCTCAAATTCTTATTGCGCAATATGAAAACAATATCGCCGTTAATCTATTCTCAAAGTTTGGAAACTTTTAGGACTGCATAAAACACTCACAAAAGATGTTTGCTGCTTGTTCAGCCTACTTATTTAAAATGAGTTAACTTAATCAGTTTGTGTTGGGACAACATAAAGGAATTGTTTGAAATCCAGCTTCTTTTTACAGTGTATATATGACATGCCATATTATACATCACATATGTTAAAAAAAACCCTCAGAGGTTATAGTAGCCCAGAATATGCTCAATGTCCCTCAAAACCCTGAAAATCAATGAGATGAAATCCAATCAAATATATTAATTTGGTTCACTAAAGCATACAAATGTATTACACAAAATACAAAAAAAGCTGAACTCCTCATAGCCAATGTATAATTCTCACACTGCTTATTGCATTGATTTCAGTGAATCAGCGTTTAAACAAATTGATTAAATGGATGATTAAGTGATCGTAGAAATCTCAATGAATTGTGTTTGAATGAATCAGTTGAATTAATGATGCAAATCTATGTTTGAATAAAATAGATGAATAAATGAACGATCAGTCACTCATATTTATTTGAATGAATTGATGGTTTTGAAATAATTGGTTGAATGAATCATACAGTACGTCCAGCTATTAAAGCAGAATTTTTGTAAATGTCTTACAGTATGGATAGGTCAAACCATATCTATCCCTATAGTTGAAGTGCATTGTTCTGAATACTAGATAATGCTGTGCTGGACATAAAAGTTGTTTTCATCTTGTAACCATCTCTGTTTTCTCTCACTTCTAGATACCCTGCTGTCATCTGGCCATGGTGAGTACTTGAGAAATATGTTCCCGGAAACAGCTCTGCATGACTCTGAATGTGCCAGATCTCAAATGTGATTATTATTTTTCAATGTTGGTCCGCAAGCATGCGTGACTCAGTCCATTGGAGCATCGCTGCGGCAGCAGATGTACATCTTTTTTATTTATTTTTTTATTTTTTGTGTGAAATTCACTTTGCATACTTTCAGCTCGGTTGGCTGACACAGAGAACCCAATCTTTGTTAGTGATTACTGAAGACTCACCTCTGCTCCCTCGGTTCTGTTCGGTGTTCAGAGCTGGCACATTTTCCCAGCATGCTCGTTCAATCATTCCCGACTCACTTCGGTCAATCACCCCTTGCGGTTTATTGTGCGGTTCGCACACATTTGGTCTGGCTGTTTGTCAAAGATGAGACGCTTGCCCTGGGAGTCACTCTATAGACAGACTTCTTTTTCACATACATTTGACTCAGTGGGGGGCAATCTTTAAAGTGTGTGTTTTCGCTATTGAATTTATGATGTTATAGAGCCTCAAATTACCTCTCATTTCTAGCAAAATGGAGGGTCAGAGGCAAAGCGCATGTGCAGGATGTAATGGACTGCGTGACAAGCATATAGTCCACCTGCAGAGCTGCATGGGCCACTGGAAAATAACACCTGCGCTGACCATTTCTGCATTTATTTGGAGACCCAGAAAAATAGAGAGAGAGAGATCAGAAAGGAGACGAGAGGGGAAAAAAAAGCCTTGCAGAGTCTGTGCTTAAAGGGCAGTCCTGTCCCAAACTTGAGCTGTATATGTTTTGCACTCAAAGCACACTTGCCCACAATGCTTTGTGGAAACAAGACGTGGCACTAGGTCCGATTTTTCCGTTTACTCTGCACTTTGCACGAGAATAGGATATGTGGAGGCTAGCAAGGTCTGTATTTCCAGGCCAGCACATTTTACTTTTCTTTGCTAGTGCTCTTTTGTCAGACGGTAACTGGTACAAATAGTATGCTGCCCTTCAAGATTTCTGCAAATGCACCATAATGGATAATAATGAGGCTAATGCAAACACTTTGAATGGCTTGAAAAGGATGTGAGAACTCTCTGCGGACCAGAGAACTACTTTATTTGAGTGTTTTTAACTGGGCCTGTGTGGCGGTAGAGCAAATGAAGGAAAGGGCCATATGGTTGAAGCGATGTAGAAAGATGTTGACAACATCATCCTGACAACGGTAATGGTGATGGTCACAGTTTAGACAGCAGGCATTATTCCTCCGGCTGCTTTACATGAATGCATTCGAACACACACGCTTTCCTTTCTGTTCAGAGCCATGTGTGACTCAAAGAGGTCTGGTGCTGAAACATATGCAGAAAGGAGCAGGTATAGACTGCATGAGTATATGCGCACAAATATACAGTACTCAGCACAACTGAGTACACCCCATTTTGAAAATAAATATTTTTATCCATTTCTCAGCGAATATAGGCTTCTTTTTTTTTTTGGTGCATTTGAACAAAACAGATTTATTAAATGGATATATTTCTTAAAAAAATATTTTTGTCAAAACATCTTTAGAAATAGATAATACATTTTAATTCATTCAAAATATTGGAAAACAAAATTACAAACTACAGAATTTCTGGAAATGTCTTCAGAGTTTTTCTTGAGTTTAGCTCTTTTTTTAAATTTTTGTTAAATATTTTTCCATAACCTGAATCTGGGTGTACTAATTTTGGACCATTATCATAAGTTATTTTATCAGATAAGCTGTAGATTTGGCTTCAGCTCAGACTAAAGTAATGTATGTGCACACATATAGTAATATTGTAAAGCTTCCTAAAGAAAATATTACAGTTTTTACTTGCTTTGTTATATTTCTCAGGTTAGAATTGAAATTTGGAAAACAGTAAGTACATTTCTCAAAACAACGCTTACAAATAGCAAAACACCAAGGATTACATGCAAAAGCAGATCTCTTGCTCAAAATTCTTAGTTTGTCTCTCAAAACTAAATTTCCGGGTCAATGAATGTGTCAGGGCTATCAGAATGAAAAGTCCTTGTGTCATTGTGTACTGATAAGACAAATTTTGTACTCATGTTATGAATATAACGGTGTACTCAGGAGGAGTAATCTGATGTAAAATTTGGCTAACTATTTTATTTTATTTTTTGCTGTACTGTAAGTTGTTGACAGATCATCTCATTAAGATACAAAAAGACAGCCCTGCATAGCACAAAAAACTCAACAAAATTAGAAATGTGAACACAGGAATCTCCTTTAAGATGCAACTTCATTAGAAAAAGACAAGACTGACCCGAGAGAAATTATATATATATATATATATGAGACTATTTAACAGAGAGCAAAATAATACATTTTGATCAACATGATGTAGGAATATAATTAATAATAATGTAATTAATAATGTAGGAAAGAGCAGATAAATGCTCATAATCATTTGCATGGATGTATGCAAGCATTTGCATTTGAATACAGTTGAAGTCAAATAGCCTTCCTGTGATTTTTTTTTTCTTTTTTAAACATTTTCCAAATTATGTTGAGCAGAGCAAGGAATCTTTCACAGTGTTTCCTATACTAGTTTTTCTTCTGGAGAAAGTCTTGCTTGTTTTATTTTGGCTGAAATTAAAGCAGATATTTTTTAGAAACCAATTATCCACAGAACAAAACATCAGGTGTCAAACTCAGTTCCAAAAGGGCCGCAGCTCTGCACAGTTTAGTTCCAACCCTAATTAAACGCACCTGATCAAACTAATTGAGTCCTTCAGGCTTGTTTGAAACCTACAGGTTTTGGAGCAGGGTTGGAACTAAACTGTGCAGGGCTTCAGCCCTCCAGGAATTGAGTTTGACACCCCTGCTATTCACCTTATTCTTCGCAGATGAGCGGGCGCAGCCATTTGAATCTTTTTGGCACAAGACTTCCAGTCTCATTCACTTCCATTCATTTTTAGACATGAAAACTGCTCGTTTCGCTGTTTGATGTTGCAAACTGATATTTCCCTGTTATATTATTATACTTGGTCTGTATAGTAATGCAAACATTTGTTTGTAGACCAAGTAGTTTGACCGTTTTTTGCCGTTTATTATTCCTAGTCATTTTTCCCAAAGGCGACTGAATCGGAAGTTCTAAGACAATCGCGAAAATCTTCAAAAAATAAAGACAAATGAAATCAGTTATCAGAAATTAGTTAATAAAACTGTTATGTTTAGAAATGTGAATTAAACAGAAATTAGGGGAAAATACACAACAGGGCTAATAATTCAGGATAATTAATTCTAATTAATTAATCTCACTTCAACTGTATATGAAGAGTTCAAAAGCAAAAACCTTCAATTGCCGTCTAATTTTATTTAGCCCCCTATTTTATTGTTAAGCTCATTCATTTATTTTCTTGTCGGCTAAGTTCCTTTATTAATCCGGGGTCACCACAGCGGAATGAACTGCCAACTTATCCAGCAAGTTTTTACGCAGCGGATGCCCTACCAGCCACAACCCATCTCTGGGAAACATCCACACACACATTCACACACACACTCATCCCCTACAGACAATTTAGCCTACCCAATTCACCTGTACTGCATGTCTTTGGACTGTGGGGGAAACCGGAGCACCCGGAGGAAACCCACGAGAAGGCCGGGAGAACATGCAAACTCCACACAGAAGTTCCAACTGAGCCGAGGTTCGAACCAGCGACCCAGTGACCTTCTTGCTGTGAGGCGACAGCACTACCTACTGCCCCACTGCCTCACTCTTATTGTTAAGTTATTTCACTTTAAAGACAATAAAAATAACTTATTTGTCACTATAAAAGTAAAATTACTGATCCTACACACAAGAGTCAAAATAACCAGCTGCATTTAGTGGTTTTTGTATCTGAATTCTTCATATGTCGCTACAAGGCCAAAATTTACTGGTATAGTAATGTGTGGACACTTGGTCGTCAAACATAAGGAATACTAGGCACAAACACACAGACTGTAATATTCCTTGTATGTTCATTCATTCATTTTCCTTCAGCTTAGTCCTTCATTTATCAGGGGTTATCACAGCGGAATGAGCCGCCAACTATTCGTCATTTGTTTTACGCAGAGAATGCCCTTCCAGCTGCAACCCAGTAGTGTATAAACACTCTCACATTCACACATTGACTCATACACCATGGCTAGCTTTGTTCAACCAATTAACCTGCAGTATAGGGTATGTCTTTGCACGCAGAGGAAACCTACACAAACACAGGGAGAACATACTCCACACAGAAATGCCAAATGACCCAGCTGAGGCTCGAACCAGTTACCTTCTTGCTCAGTGCTAACCACTGAACCACCATGCCACCCATACTTAATTAAAAGCTATACTGTACACTCTCTCTGACATTTTTTTAAAACATTTGCTCAACACACACTCTTTCTGTAGAGTTTATACAGAGTTTTTTTTTTTTCATCCCACATCGTGATTTACTCATTTATAATACTCCTTCACACAAGACCTTCTCCGTTGTGTCAAGGCCGCAGTCGACCGCCTGTATCACCTATAGGAAAGACTGACTCTGCATGCACAAAAACATACAAGTAAAATCGTTCTGTGAGTGTTTTTGCTGAATGTCGCTCTCATTCTCTCTGTCTCTCTCCTCACTGCCCCCCTTCATTCTTCACCATGAATACCGGTTGATGGCTTAAACTAAAGGAATGAAAGCAGCAAAAGAAGATGAGTGTCAGGGAGATGGAGAAATGAAGATGAAAGAGTGAATGAAGGAGGACTCTGTGTCCTTGGCCTTTGTGTGGGACTGGCTTCACTCAGCGGTTTTGATGACAGAACGCTTTACAGCTGTACAGATTATGTGCACCTACCCAAGAGAAACACATTTTTTGATTTTTTTTTTTTTTTTTTTTTACCTGAGCAAATTGCAGTTCATTCTTTCATTACCATTACTCTTATATTTTGGAGTTTCTGTTGTGGTTTGTCTGGGTCAGTTGTAAACTCGGTGACTGCTTCTAAGATGG